GAGTCAATTGAAGCTAGACCACCATGGAAAACCTGGGGTGCGGGATCGTGGACGCGCACTGCTGAGGAGTCCCATACTAGGACAAAACGGCCATCCACTGCTTCCAAGTTTCCCATGGTGGTCTAGCTTCAATTGACTCATGATTTCAACCTGTGAAATTTCTAAAAATCTCCACAAAACCCATTCCTATAATTTAATTATTTGTTAATTACATGAATGTCTTCTCGTAAATCAAAAGTTTATTTACATTACCTTATGAACTGTAAGCATTTTACTAAAAAATCTCATACTTTTCAATAATTATTTTACGAACGTATAAGGCATATAGAGATGAGTTTATTTAAAGGATAATGTTTCTTTATTGTATTGTTTCGATTTATTTTTTTTCTATAGTTGATGGAACTGCATAATTAACTATTAAGAAGTTGAGAAATTTGATATATAGTTAGTTATACAGTAAGCTGTCAGAGGTTATATTATATAGTAGTTAGAATATATCGATTAAAAAAGTAATCACACAATTTTTTCAATAATACCAAGTAAAATTATCTTTTACATAAAACCGATGGATTAATTATGCTTGAAATAAACTGTAATATTAATAATAATAATAATAATAATAATAATAATAATAATAATGGTGAAATAAACAATTAAACTACGAAAATTGAACTTGTGATAACAGTCAGTCCTTTTAGTGTAACTGATCAACAGTTACAGGAAAAATTCACGTTACATAACAGAAAGTGGTCAGCTAAATGTAATTACCTTATTGTATGATATGTTGGTAGAGTAATTGGTTGAATAAGTTTAGTGAAACTGATGGAAATAGTATGTGCAGCAACATAAGGTATGGTTAAAACCATTCTATTCACTTGTTAACTAAAAATACAGAAGTTCCCATGAAACTGTGACATTCGTACAAATGCCAGTAGCTGTAGTAAAAATTAAAAAAATATCGAAGTGAAGATTTCCCGAGACTTGAGAAGATTTGATTGAAACAAGAATTGCGAGTTCTGTGCTGTTTTCTATCACAACGAACAGTGATAATCAGATCACTTATTGCTACCATCACTACCAAATAATGGTTAGAGAAAGTGAAAAAGTAGCCAGATCAAGACATCACAGTTGATATCCATGGAAGTTTAAATCAATTATTGTTTCGTAAAGAAATTTATTCACTATATACTTGGATTTGATCTGAATTAATGGAAAAATTTGTTAAGATTTCAAAGATTTCTGTCTGCTTAGTCTTTGTTAAGCGATATTCTTTATTGAGTGTAAGTAATTTTGTTCAATTTCGAATAGAAATTTATTATCATCAATAATATACTAAAACGGTATGTAAAAACAGGAAATTACAAGTGATTGATGATTGAGTAGTAACTAATATTTGTCTAGTCTTTCGCGATGATTGAATTCTATCGATGAAATCGCAATGTAACCACTAGTCTAAATGACTCTTAATCGCGTGGATTGCGTTTATATGTAAAGTGGTTGGGATTAGTCTTCAAAACACCCTACTAACCTATATTTCATAGCAGTTGTTATTCGTCAACAAGGTTTACGTGGGACTGATGTTTCCTATGAGATTCGAACTCGCATCACAAAGCTTCAGAGTTGGCCTGTAATTCATTTCCTGTAAGACTGAAATAATTACAACTGACTGACCACTGAGATGGTGGAGAAGATTTGTAGCTCAGGTGGATGATGTTCGCCTACACGAACATCAATTAGCAGTCAAACGCCATGATATCTCCTCACTTATATCAATACATGTGGACAACTGCGGACACTCATTCGTTTGGAAAAATGTGGAAATCTTAGACAGAGGAAACTCCAAAAACACCAGAGAATTTTTAGAAGCCTGGCACTTAGGTCAATCAGCAATCAACAAGCATATTGAGATCAATCCAATTTACCAACCAATCAGGAAAATCATGCACAAATGTGTGAACAAAAATCAAACCAATGGGAGACACAACCAAAACAAAGAAGTAAACAATGACAAATTTAAAGTCAATAAGAACCAATCAACGTCGAGGTGTACAGAACAAGCTGTGAAACACATATGGAGAAATTCGAACACTTCACTTCTATCTGAAGTTTGTGCTGATGATGTCGTTCAGAAGAACGATGAAAGCTCCACGACCAAACCATCCAGCTCAGAGAACGAAACTCCACCAAGATTGACCACTGAGTAGTAACTAATATATTATTTGTTTGGGTCTTAGTATTGATTGAATTTATTGATCACAGTTTGCTCTTGACTATTTTTAGTCACTTAAAGTCTAAATATAGGCATAATATGTGTATATGTATGCATTAAAAAAATATGATTTACTCTCGTAAATAAATAGGACAGGGGAAGTAATCAAAGTAATCAAAGTTGAAAGAAATAGGGAAAAAAGGTATGGTATTCATTGAATACAATACTGAATAACAAACCCTATTCGCTCACTGGTACTTATTGATTTTCAATATTTTATTTATTAGTGTATCAGAAAATCGATTTGGTTTCTTATTATCAATCGATAAAAATCAGAATAAGTAACATCATTTATAATACTTTTGTGACTGTTTTATCAAATGATGCATTTAATTACTTTAACATTTCAAAAAAATGAGAGGAACTATTTCAAGAACTGAACACATTATTGTGAATCATTTTTAACTCATTAACCACAGGTAACGTGCATATATGTCATGTATTTGTAAAACTGAAAAGAAAATGTCACTCAAGTTTATTTAGTTAAAAAAGTTTGTTTACATGTATTCAATGAAAAAGAAAAAAAAAACCGAGACAGCATTAAATACTTTGATCACGTTATCAAAATTGTATTACTATAGTAGAATGAAAATGAAACAATGTTGAAATCAATCCAACATACTGGAAATAATGTGTACATAACATTAATAGAATTAATAAAGTTGATTATAATTAACGAAGGAATTTGAAACGTCTTATTGATTATTTTGGATAATAAAAAGAGAAGAAAGTAGATGCTAATGATTACCATTAAATGACACCAGATGAATTAGTATGAATGAATCACTACAACTAGCTGTTTTGTTGTGAACAATTAACCATGTGGATAATAGTGAATTAACATGATTGGAGGCAACTGGTAGGAATTATTAGATATAAGTTTTGGGTTATATAAGACTTTGGATTTGAATTTACAACATTGGTCACTATCGTTCATTGACCGATTAGTACAGTCAATCCAGTTTTACGGGTCATTCATACCTGAGATAACTGAGTGAGAATGTCGATGATTAATTCACTAGTTGATCTGGTTTTAAATATCTGGGACGGTGAAAAATCTAGGTCCAGGGATTCCAAATGACTGGCTTTATATGTCTAAAATCAAAGTACATGGAATCACTTAGCTTGCTAGCTACATTGTGGAGATATTTTCTACAGCTTAACTGAAATGGAATTCATATGTGACATTTAAGTACTGTAAAAGTACAAGTAAATATTAATTTAAAATTGCAACTGAGTGATCAACAAAAATCTAGTCAGTTTTGATTTGCCTTGATTCTAACTACAAGTTCTAAAGCTTTCTTCAGTGTAGAAAATATTTTGTAATGTTATTTAATGAACTAGTTATTAGACTCTGAATTATGTGGTACTTTATGTGTACTTCTGTTTAGGTTAAATAAAGATGTAAACTTCATCAACGTAAACACAGATTTTCATAATCAAAATGGAACGGCTTAAACTATGAAATGGATGTAGTTTTTCTGTGATTGATAACGTTTTGGTAAAGTAATTTCATAGATAAAAATCTAAAATATAACAACTGAGCAAATCTCTCTGGTTTTCACAAGCTTTCCAAATGATATCACTATTTGATGAAAACAATCTAGATGGTTGGAAAGTAATCAATGAATTATTAAATCAAATGCATCACACATTAAGGTCATATCTAATTGGACTGGAGGTTTAGGGTTCAGTTACAAAAACTACTATTAGTAGAAACTATAGTAGACTAAACCAAATACTTCATTCATTCTAATTATTTGTCTTGCAATGAAAGCCAATTGCCGAATCATAAATAACCATCCAACTAAAAAGGAGTGGGAGCAGTTTAAATTAAAGTTAGGGATTATCAATCTCGTAAAAAATGTCGAAATTTAGTTTTGGAAAATATGAACACAGCGAAATTGGTTTCGAACTCTGAAGTGGATGGTTGAACTATTTACTGCACAACTTTCAGCATCATGAAATTTATTTTTTCGACAAGGCTGTAAACCAATTAACTTAATCTATTCTTAAAATATATGCCAGTATTTTCTCTGTAAAATACCTGGATATTCGTGATCAGATTCGGAGAGTAGAGCGAAAATTTCAGACGCTCAGTCGGTGACAAATATGATAATGGAGGAATAGTTACATACTTTAGAACTATGGAAAACTGACTTTTATTTGGTACGTTATTCCGTTGCTGATACATAACATAGAGTTTCTAAAAGATTCAAGTAAAGACATGAAGATTTGCAAGTTTGAATTAAGTTTCTAATTTCTAGATTTTTTTTAGCGGTGACAACTTTTACTCACATGCTTTATAGTAATTTATGGTAAATGCAGCCGACAACCTAGGTATTAACAATATTCGCACAGTAATTTACGAGCCGTACATTTGAAGATGTGAATGGATTCTAGGTGAATTAACTGCTAAATAACTTAAAATTGTTTATAATAGTGGAACAAGTTGAATAACGCTGTCTGGGAATATTTTATATCACCTAGTAGTCTATTGAATGAACACATGCATATACACGATTAACTTAGTAAATACGAAGAATACTACTTCAGTATGTCACCTTATCTGTGTTATTGACATACTATTCTTAATTACGCGATTGATCAAGTACAGATTACGAACGGGTGATTTAACATCAAAAATTAGTAATTTAACGTCAGCTTATTGAAATGAAATACAAACGGTTTAAAGTCATCACTATGAAATTCCAATAAAGATGCAGAAATCCAGTTTTTATTTATAAAGTATATATGAACAAGATTTTACCAACAACGGAATATGCTCTTCCTGTAACAAAAATTTGTTCTTTGTGATCAGAAGGATCACTGTAACGGATAAAGGCAATCGAACAAAATACAACAATGATACACATTATTTTGCGTAATCACCTTGTCAGCATTTAATTAGGAGGAATACATACATTTTCGTAATACATTAATAAGGTATATCCGTTTAAGTATACTGTGACATCCATATGAATGAGAGATATATTTCTAGCCATCATGCAACTTGACTATGTATTTTTTTCCCACTCAGCTAAAATCAACGTTAGATGGATACAATAAGCAAGAGACGACCGATTAGTTTAAACTTACTCGATAGGATAAATAAAGACTAATGACCAGAAGACACGAAGAAAACTTGTGTCGCTACTACAGAACTTAGACGTCACAAGTTCCACCTTGGATAGGTTTTTGACTTAAGCGATTAGTGTCACCTGGGTCTGGATAGGAATTTTAGTGTATGCGAAGATAAATGCTGTTATTCTATCAGATTTTCTTTTGTATTCTGTGAATAGATATTGTTTAACGAACAAGATGGTTGGTTTTTCAATAAATATTTAAAATGTTTCGTCGCGAAATAACATCAACTGAGTGACTGCATAGACGAATGTTGTGCTGAAATCATTCTATTACTCAAAGGGAAAATATCCATTAATAAATTCCCCTACCTACATCATTTTGATAATGTCGTGGGAATTTTCGGTGATAAATCTGGTCTTTCATTTCTTTTTACATACGTATAACTGGGTTCTGTAAATTGTTGACATATTGGAACTTTTATTCTCAACTATATTTCGTTGGGAATGTGAGGTTAGTAGAAAAATATGAATTTTATATGCAGTATATTTTTTATACTGGGATTACTAAGTATGTATATATAAAAACGATCCTGAAGTTAGAATGATCGAAAAGTTAACATCTGTTAGCTGTCGTACCTGGGCAATGGACAGTATCTACTAACTGCACTGAGATAGTTGACTGACAGGCTACAGTCGTCCATAAGGTTAGGTAAGAAAATCAAACAAATCAGTAGTTTGAAATCAAACGCGAAATATTAGTTGGACAAAGCAAAAACGTCTTGGAAAGTGCGCTATTTTATTTACGTAGATGAACTGTTATTCATAAGTTAAATGTAGAAAACGAACATAAATTCCATTGGAAAATGACACTATTCGACCTTTTTTTAAAGAAATCCAAAAAAGCAATACCTCATTTCCTTTAGTTTAAGTTGTTTTATTTAATCCTACTTTACAACCTTATACAGTTTTATGGTGGAAAAAAGTAAACTATGAAGTCAGAAAGGAGCTGAACTTGCAATAAACATCTAGTGTTATTAACCTATATTAGAAAGACGTTATTTGGATTTTAACATAATAGCAATCGAAATACAGTTTCATAAAGTTTCCCGTGAATGGAATTAACTTTGCACTTGGATGAATTATGTCAAACAGTTGTAGGAAACAAATTTTCCTAGACTACTGAATTCGCAGCCATAGCTTATAACCCGTTTTTATTTGATCCTCCGAATCATAAATTACTTGTTTGGAACGACTAGAATGGTGAATTCTTCTTGCTAATTATCACACAAAAACTCCCAAGATTTTGTAGACTTACGTTATACTGAAAACTGATACAAAATATACACTGTAAGTGGAATATAGGTGACTTCAATATCAAGAATACCTCATGATACCTAATACGAAAAACAAATGTTATATAAACAGAAGCTACATGACTCATCTATACTTTGCATTAGAGTGTAAAATGTCGTTTTAAGCAGTGTATGATCGAAATTTTTCTTCGTCAAAGCATTTGTTCTATGATTGAAGCGATGATAAGTTCTGAGTTAGAAAGACCTATCATAACGGATATAGGGATTGGTAGGTCATATCTGGGACATCATAAATGATGTCGGTAATTCTAAATGTCATCAAGAATTTGATTTACATACTTGGACAACTGGTTTCAAGAAATACTTCTGATAGTTAGCTTATTGAATAACTATTTTCTTTTTAGCTGTCAAATGGACTAGGCTTAGAATTTTTTTAAAAATTGCCCTATAAGTTATAATAAGCTAATCTTTGCTGTGCAATGGTTACTTTAGTGCAAGTCGGATCACCATCATTGATCGCCTTTTAATAACCGCATAAAGATAGCTTAAGGTGTCAAAAGTAGAGACGTCACCTAAAGTTTCGCTATTATGCTAGTAATTTATTCACTTATTAATAAGACATTAAGCGTACTTTTGAGTTAGTAGCGTCCAAAACCGTAATAAAAACGGGATGGTCAATATCGTCATCATCAACATGACTATAAAAATGAGCAGGTACAACTCAGTGAACTACTAACAAAAAAATAAAATATGAAAAAAGTCAATTTGCTAAACACTAGTTTCATTTGTCTGTAGTGGGAATTCTACACAGTCGAGTGCATTGAAATGATCACGTGGCTGTAGAATCTCAATAAATACGTTAGGATATATATATATATATAAGGTTAGACATGATTCATACACATATACGTACGTTTGCATGTGTGTAAAGTCAATGTAGCCTTTAAAAGAAGGTATACAAGATGAAGTTGGAAAAACAACTCCTTTGAACTAAATGAGGGACACAAACGATTTAAGAGAGACGAAAGATAGTGAATAAGCGAACATTTGGATGTAACAACTTAAATGTATGCATGATATAGAAGAGATAATCTATTACGTATAAAAGTTTTTCATAATGTTAATCATAAGTAAATGAAACCGATTTTTCTCCTTACCAAGGTATAATGAATTTTGCACACAATTTGTAGAGGGTACATTTAATTAAGGAAAAGCAAAATAGAAATGGTGAAACATAGCAGTACGAAGATTAAAGAAGACAAGCTACTTTTTATCCTTTTCGCAAGAAGTCACCGGCGAAAACCCATCATTGTTATTTGTATCATCCGCCATAAGAACAGTTAGCGCAATAAGTTTTACCGTAAGTTACTAATATACACAGATACACGAGATAACAAACAGTGCAGGTGAGAAAAGTGTATAACCACGTATGAAATAAATCACACCACATTATGGAACTAGGTTTCATGACAGAAAAGATAACTCATAATTTTGTAAAAGAGAACAGCAACAATATCACAAAGTAACTTCCGCATGAATTTAAAATAATTGTCAATACTTCAGAAAATTAAAATATCTTTTAAACTGCATTGGATAACGAAATAAAGGTGAAACCTGCATTAGAATAAACATCTAGGACAGAACGTATTCAAAGAATTAAATTGAATCACCCTATCACAAATCGAAAACATACATAATAATATAAAGAAAAAACGAGGCGAACAAAAGATGAAAGAAGGAAGTTAACAAAATATAAACATTGAAACAAATTTTTGTGTGTATAGGGTTTGTACATTTGGGAAAACGCACTTGAAAGGAAGAGTATATGTTAGAGTTCAAATAGATTGAAATGTGTTCAGTTACTTAGTCATGTGTATTATTATTAATACTACTATTAACAGCGAGATTCAGAAACAATAAGAACAGACCATCATTAATAATAACAATAATTAAGGATGTTACTAATTGAACGCAATAAATCTATTCACAGAATATATATGACATTGAATATTGGTGAGGAATATGGTAAACTAAACGAAAGAAGAAGAAAAATCAATTTGGAACAGAATGTAAATATCTAGTAATTACACTGATATCATTCCCGAAGGCAAAAATGAAACATTTGATACGTAACTTACACAATCGTTTTATATGGCTTCCTTAGGAATTATCAACGGTGTACACAGGCGATGGCGCATGCATTGTAAAAGGCAAAAAAGTAATAATTTTAGTTACTGTGCATTCTTAGATCCACTTTCAGAAAGGAACAGAGCATCAATAGGAAAGGCTTATATTGTATTTTATTGTGAAGTATTGAAAGTGTAGAGATAGACGACCCTCAGGAGAAAATAGTGTTATGAGGATGATAACAGACTGAAAAAATAAAACCGACAAATTGCTACTTTTCAAATAAGGTGACACGACTGCACGATAAATGAGAAGAAAAGATGTAGTGAGATTAACAGAAGAGATCATTTTGAAGGAATGAAAAACAATACTATACGAATACATAGGTACTACACTAAAGACTAAGAAATAACTTACATAAATTTCCATAGCTCAATTTGGTAGACATAAAATTAACGAACAAAAATGAAACACCCGGGACAGTTAGAAATACAAAAATACATATAAGTGAAACAGGGATGGTCATAATCTACTTAGATGACATAAACAAGTGTGCTTAGATATTTCATTAGAGATGTTAACAGAAAAGTGCAGATAAGGAATCCTGAGGACATTATCAGAAGTTTAAGAACGAATGATGCTGTTGAGTGGAGTGAATATATAGGAAATAATAAAGAAAGAATTGGAAAGTACAAACATGTCTGAATAAAATTTGGTCGGAAATAACCACTACAATACAAATTAGACAATGTAGATGATCTGACAGAAAAGATTTACACACATGTAAAGTGATCATTAGGCCTGTACAAATGCGTATATGTGAAACGCATACAGACAAAGAACACACTTGAAATCACGAAAAACATGTCATTGTGGGCTGTATCGAAACAAAGATATTATGACCCAGCATAGTATTTTGAAAAAAACGAGAGGTACTGCATAAAAACTATACCGTTGAGCATGTATTGATATTATCCAAGATCTTTCACAGTCATAGTTGTAATCTGGCACTTCAAGTATACAGAAAAGTAAATAACTTCATTTGAAGTGGGATATAAAACAGATCAGTATGCAAACGAAAGTGTTATTGATTAAAGTTTGAGGTCATTAGCGATCTGGGAAGCGATGCTTTTAAATCCAATAGAAGTTCCTGAAATTCTTTTAAAGCGAACTCCATTTAGAGACAAACGAGGAAGTTTACAAACTTCCATTTCCCACTGAACATTCGCATCTGTGCTTGGATCTCCATGCTCACATATGAGAAGGTATCTTTCACGTTGATCATATTCGCAATTATTGGCTGTGAGGACCTTCTTGATTTCTTTAATCATGTTATCCGGGCACATGCTACTGGTTGTTTTCATAGACCAAGTGAAACGTAAACTTCGTGGTTTCGTTTGATCATTAACATTATCGTCAGTATGAGGAACAGTTTGATTCCCGCCTTGAGGAACAGGAGAACCAGCAGAGCTTCCTCCAGGTGTTAACTGGCTAACAGGTTCGGTGTATGCGCCATGTACACTGGAGTCAGAAAAAACTGAATCTCCAGGTAGATAACCTGATCCCGAGCTGGTTGTGGAAGCTCCAATATTAGAATCCGCCGTTGAGAATGGAACATGTGAAATATCAGTGCCACCAGTAAGTGCCTGAGACATATTGCCCATTGCACCACTATTAGGTCCACTAAAAAGCAAAAACGGCATTATGAGACTTATTAAACCATAAATTATGAAAATAAATCAAGTACAGTACTTATTTTATCACTGAAAAGTAATGAAAGCACAAAACTCATGTAACGTTTTACCCGATTTAGAATTTAAAAAGACCTGTCATCTAACAGTTCTAAGCACACAAATCAAATTATTAAGAGCCGAGTTCTAAGGCTAGTAAAATTTAGCTGTTCTATTAAGGAAGGAGACTACATGACCCGAATTATCCAACGTTTCTAGCCCGACTTTGACCGTGTCTACCAATCCATCAGTCGAAAGATATTTCATTTTAGAAACGATGATTTTCGATTCGGATGTTTAGTGAGTTGTAACTGTCAATCTTTCTTAAATCAAATTACTATGTCTGATAGATGAAATAATTTGTTCGGTAAGGTAATCATATAGTTCCAAAATTCTAAAATGAAGCCATGGAAAACTTGTACAACCAAGGTTGTACAAGTTTATTTACAACTTCGAGGTGGAAGGTAATCAGTAGATACACATATCTAGATTAAAGGTAGAAATGTTCACATCTTGACACTAAGAAATGTGAAAAACTTACAATAAAGTATTCTAATTACTCTGTGCTAGTGTCGATTGAACAGCTATAGAATTGCGGTAACAGACTTGCGAGGTATTGGTACTATGACGCTGCCATACTGAGGCAATGGATTAAAGTTAGATGAGGTGACCAATAAGTCATCAGTTTACTACTCATTATTGTATAGTTGAGGATGAAAACTGTTTAATGTCACTAGAAGGTAACCAAGAGGTAGGAGTGACTGAAGAAACTGATACGAAATTAAGTCTAATCCTTACAATCGTTTACAGGTGGAATATGTAAGTTTTCAAGACATTAAAATTTATATCATACTGTGAGATTATTATGAACTAAATACCCAGAAAAACAGCTAGTAATTTTAAACGACATGATTCAGCAGGATAAAATGAATGGAGAACACCTTACCGTCGGCCGATTTTGGAAGTAAGTGCCTTGAAGAAGGTAAGACCAGTGCCAGAAGGAGTTAAGTGAGTCATACCACTACTATTTGTAGCCCCAGCACCAGCAAGTGAAACATTAATACAACGAGCAGCGACTGTGTTGTTAGAATTTTGATTATTTGTATCGAAATCAAAGTCTATGTTTGGTGAATTTGTTGAATGAATAGTTCTACGTTCTGGTGTAAGCCTAGGGAAAGGTGTAGTCTCTAAGATAGTTCCTATACCATTGTTAAATCCAGAAGACGTGTTATTATTGGTATTTGTAACTACACGACGTGCAGCAACAGAGGTAGCGTTACAACCCGCCTGGTTAGTTGACGTACCCACTCTGGAATAGAATTAAAAATTTGTTTTCAATAAAGGGTAAATAGTAGATTAGGAAATCAAATGTATAATTTGGAAAGGTAGTATTGAACTACATTACTAATGTGTTAAGAATCGGACATTGATAAAACGAAAACATTTGCACATTGAATAAAAATCCGTTATCCCTGGAAAATGTCAAGTAAGAATTTTTTAAATCTAGTTATCATCTAGCCATATAAATCAGAAACGTGCAAATACATAAACACAAAACTGACCTAAATAGAAAATAAAATCAACCTCATTGTTTGAATGAACTGAAAAGAAATCAGATTATCACTAAGATCACGTACAAAAAGGACAACAAGCCATTGTATATAAAGAAGAACTGATAGTAAAAACAAACTGGAAGAAGTTGTTTTATGATAAACTTAATATTCCGCGTTTATAAGTACTCAAACGTGTACCTTAAAACATCGAATAACTCAATGTCATTTCTTACTCTAATAAAATAATAGTCGTTAGGTTCGTCTAAATTATGTGAAGTCGGCACATACAGAGTAAATGAGTTTAAGGTACAGAAATTTAAAATGAAGAGTTAACAATTAAAATAATGATTGATATGAATGAAGTTACGTAGTTACCATTCAAAAGAAAAGTCAAAGTTTAATTATTTCTACGCGGGAGTTTGATACTTAAATGATAACAATTAACGGAATAGTAAATACATTCAAACAAATCGATGACAATGAGATATCTGATTATCTTATCGTATCGTTAGCACGTGGAGACGATACAATTTTTAATGTTATGCTTCCTTCCCTTTATTTTATCACTAAAAGACTTATAATACCTGTGTTACTGCAGTTTTATAAATAACATTGTTTTCTTTTGATGAGATATATGTAGACAGACTTTCCAGTCATAATCATAACAGACGTGTAAGTGTTCCTCATAATTTTCTTTTCTTTTTAACATTTTGGTAGCAATAAATAAAAAATAGTACACAAAATTAAATTAAAACTAATATATCATAACTGTATTGATTACTAATGTATATATATATATATAAACGAACATAAATTAATGGGCGAAAAAACACCAGTGCAAAAAATAAAATGAGGGCGAAAGACTCTAGATGTTTTGAATCCAATAAAATATAGAATAATCGAAAGTTAGTGCTATTTATTTTGAGAATACAACATCTGATTGATATCAATTTGTGATGAAGTCTTCTGTAACTATCACAAATAGTAAAGCTGTAATTAACTATATGAATCAATCATAATGAAAGTTGCTTTGGACCATGGTTTATCAGTAGGAGTAGAACAATTTAGAAATCGCCACAATAAAAAAACGGGAACACATACAACCTCACTTAACTATCACAATTAGATTATGATGACTGGTGATAAATAAAAACTGACCCTACGCAAAAAAAACAATGAGAAGATCAATGCACAAACCAATCTCTATTTACCAAAAGAATTATACATAGCAGCAGTAACATCACCGACGAGTTTCATGGACTGAAACTAAACAATTATGGTTTGACGCATGACAAGAATCGTGTAGTTCGCAACAAAACTCATTTTAGATTGATTAATTATCAGTCAGCCGTAAGAGTGATTACGAAGTAGTAGTCTGTTTACAATTATTAACAAATATAAATGATTGTTTTATTTGAAGAACAATTACATATGGGCGACAACTTAAATAAACAACTTGTAAACCCAATGAAAACAAATTTTCAATACTCAAATATGATACAGATCAAAAGAAGTAGAAAGTGAATGAAAAGTACTGAATTTCCCTGTAGCAATCTGATAGACCATAAACATGGTAGACAATAACGACCATTTTTTAATGTAATATCAACGAAAGACATTAAAAATCATAAGCTAGTTGAATTTTTGTGTGTAATGGATTTTTCAATAGCTTAAAATATTACATGAATCAGTCTCTGTAGAAATGAAATTTATAGAACTAAAATTCGTGAACGCCGTTTTGAAAAGCAAGACAATATGAATAATTTCCGACGCAAGTGTCGAAATAATTGGTAAATATTACCAGAAACCAACAAGATAAAACAGAGAACCTCCAATCATAGTGAATTGGTTTAAGTTTACATTGTCTCTAATAATATCTAGGAAACAGAGAGAAGTGGAAAAATATTGGAGGGTAGAAAGACGAACTAATGAACACATAAATACAACTACAGTTAATGATCAACACGCTTGAATTATGAATCAGTCCCTAATTTGACCGAGTAATACTTCACAAATACTTATAATTGAATGTCATAAGCCCTGTCCTCCATTCGTTTTCCATTGAGTTTTAAGTGGAAAATTGTCTAAAACGAACTTCACAGAGTTGCTAAGTTAATAACATAATATACTTTAATAATGTAATAGACAAGTTTCAAACGACACTATGAAGCAACAAAAATAATAAAAAAACGATAAAAGTGAGTAATCGAAGTATATATAAGCATAGAAAAATGAAATGTTAAATATTTACGGTTACTACGGAGCTTTGAAAAGTTTTTATCCATGGTGCTAAGGGTATTCAACCGAAGTTAGAAAGCGAACAAGTAGCCTCATAAACACGAACACACCATTATGCATCAAAACGTAAGCGGGAGTTGTTGAGATGGATTCATTACCTCTTCCTAATAAATCTAAAGCTATAATAATGAAAGCTGCTCACATAAATTTGTTAAAAACAATAACAAAAGGACAAAAAAAACCTTAGACTTTGAAAATGTACACAAGACGGTTACTAGTTTTGTTGCGGCTCGGAATACATAGTTCCGAAGTTGGATATCGCAAGTACATTTTTAGCAGGCTTTGGGAATTGATGATAGTTTTCGGAAACCTGTTTTAGAGCCTCTTCGAAATGGGGGCTATGGCTCTTTAGATAAAAAAAGGATAGTACTTTTTCAGTATTATTCGCTACACTAGAGTCAGTTCCAGTAACTGACCACGGAAGATGGAAAAACAGTACAACATGTTGTCTTTAGTGATTGATTAAGAGGTTATCGATAAGTCATCAAAACCTTTGTCAAATATACATAACATTTTCGAGCTTCCAACCAAAATAAAGTATTTTGAAAATAAGCACGAAATTATTTTAGCACTTATAAAAGAATGATAAAGTAAGATCACTCGAACAATCGGGAGAAAAGTAGTGGGGAATTTGTTGTTGCAAGCTAATTATGTGGTATCAAGAATGATCAATGTAAATTCATATTTATAAATGAAAGGATATTTCATGTAAAATACAGCTAATTTAGCTATTTATGTAGTAGTATCTACACTGACATTTTGTTGTTGAACATACAAATTAGATAAACATTTTACCAGAATCAATTTTACATATGAGAATACTAGATAGTGTTCCATTTTAAATACCCTAGAAACAAACTTATCAAATTGCCAGTACTCACTCGGTACAAAAGTGAGTTGAGTACGACTGGTATCAGGAAGTAGGCTTCTATAAGTTAGGATAAAAAGGATCAATTTTCGCAAAGATCTTAAAGAGACAAGATAAAATTAACTATTGATAAACAGGTGTTTCTTTGTTGTTTTCAGACGGAAATCCTCTAACGATAATCAATTCATTTACCAAAAAATTTATCCAAGGAAGTGTGACTGCAGCTAATTAACATAGTAGAGGACTAATTAGAGACAATATTGTCAAAAATACCGAATAAACTTAGCTATGATGCAGAAAAATGTAAAGAAAGTAGTATGATTGATGAGACTGAAGGATATAACCAGTCTTCGTGAAAATCTAAAGTTTACAAAAACATAATAAATCAATCCGACTACACTAGTTACAATCCATGCACCGGACTCAATCAAGAATACACGAATGAAGTCAACTAGTATTATCTTATACATGAACATATTCATGTATACAAGAGCGAGTGCCTGGATTTCCAACTAACCGAATAAATCATATATGGTTTACAAGTCAATAATTAACAAGTGAGAGCTGACAGTGATATTTCATACATAGAATATGTAATCGCAACTATGATAAAGTTGAACTATTCAATTATAGTCTTACTGCTATTTTGCTTTAAGGTAAAAATACTATTTTCAATTAACTGCTTTCAATTTTTGTTAATTTCTCCTCGCTGTATGTAGTGTGGCAACTTGGACTAATATAATCTTGTACCAAGTTGTACGTATTTTATAATAACTGTAAAACCTAACTTGCACGTTAGAGATGAATACTATAGAACTGCATCAGACCATATACAGTAACTATACAAGAATCAAAGTATCTGATAATGTAATAAACTAGAAAGTCTCAAATACAATAAAAGTTTGTTTTACTAATTTCGGTAGATTTGTTTAATTCATTTATTACACCTAATAAAAAGTTCACGAATAAATTAGTAAACGTGAAAAGAGAAAGATATAAAATGAATATTTATATCAAACGAAATCCGACCACAACGTAACATGTAAAATGTGCATCGAAACCCAGGTAAACCGAAATGAGGTGAAGAAAGGAGGTTAAAGCAAGACAAGAAAACGCAATATATGATTATCAATTATATGTAAAACGGTGAAGTAAATATTTATAGATGGACAAAAATAAAATTATACATATATATATATACACCAAAATGATATAAATATTTTTATCGCAACAAATAACGATAAAAAAGGCAAGAACATTAGTTTTTTTAACAAAACATAAACATTGTGAGTTAATTGGACTAGTGTTACAACATTGAGATACTCCTACCTAAGGGAACTATACGCTAAATCGTTGCGATTGAAAGATGTTACAGCATAATCGTTGACTCTGCAATACAAAACCATCATTATGAAAAGAAGAAAATTCAGTTTGCATCAATAACCATAATACAAAATAATTAGGAAAGAAATATGTCATTAATTGTAGCGGAAAGGAACTTTCGACCAATAAGTCGGTAGGACACTTAATCTACAGATATCGAAAAGTTAAGAGAAACACTGATAAGCATTTTCAGATTATTACATTTTAAGTAAACCTCGTTCTGATGAAAAAAGAATAATTACATACCCGCTTCGATTGACAATATTGGCACAAGGTTGGTTACGATGTAATTCTCCAGCTCCAACTACATCACTTCCACGTGTGGAAGAAGCACATTGATTTGATGAAGTTCCATTACCACTAGTACCAGGACCTGCAGTATTCAACGTTGCAGATCTTTCCAATAATAAACCTGCATGATAAGCACCACCAGTACCACTAGATATATTGGCACCATGATGTACTTTGTTAGTACGCGTAGTCATAGGAACAAGTGCAGGAGTAACATGGCTGAAAGTTCACAAAACAACGTGGTCCACAAAAAATTTATTACAGTAGAAATTGTCCAAAAGAATGAGTATTGAATTTTATAATTTCAACAAATAAATTGATAATTTACAAATGAACTATATGCTGAGTGAAAATCAAGTGGACATTATCCGTGAAAAGGATCAATTTCCCTGACATTCAAGACATCCGTTGCTCATATCAAGTAAAACAATATACATTTTAAACTTTTAGAAGATTGCTTAATATGAGTGGAATCAAATAATACTTCAATTACGATAAGTCGTTACTTGTGTGATGTGCACCTCGTATGTGGACAGATATAAGTAGTATGTAGCAGGAATAGGAAGTGGAATGTTTAGCAGCAGAAGATTAAAATAAAGAGAAGAGGAAGGGAAACAAAGAGCAATTTGATTAACAATTGAATTGGAAGAATGATGGACTATGTAAAGGACAACTGAAGGAAGATATCTAAATGACTTATTTATTGTATGATTTTCAAATTATACAAGGGCACCGTTTTATTTTGTATAAACCAATATATTGGTTTACCATACCTGAGTTTTCCTCCACTACATTTGGAGCTTTGAATTGAGTGAGTCTAGATCGAAAAGGAAAAACTATTGTGAATTATATATTAAAATAGGCAGTGATTATAAACATAAGTTAGTTTCAAGTACCTTTGTACACGCACGAATTCTGCAGTAAAAACGACGAACATATGTGAAAAGACTAGGACGGGTCTCAAATGCAATCAGTGGGGCAGAAATATGTAATATACAGTCTACTCCGAGTGTACAGCAGTCTAATTTCTTTACACTAAGTCCATCATGTCATCAATTAGTGCACGGGAGTGTTTTTCATACTATTAAGATCACTATATGAAGTAGACGTATTTGCTCAATAAGCACTAAATATTGGTAATATTGTGCCATAACTTTAAAATGCTTATTACAGGTTAAAATAGTATGCTTTTAGTATGGGGTTGTAGAGATTGTTGAATTTCATTGAAATCATGAACTGATCAACGGTCGACCACCATTGAAAACCTAGGGACACTGAACGTCTGTTTCATCCTAGTATGGGACTTCTTAGCAGTGGGAACCCATGATCCTGGAACCGGGAAGCAAGCCCAGGAACTTCGGTTGCACGCGCGAACGCTTAGCCACTAGACCACTGACCGGCATCCAATGGTGTTGATGTCTAATATTAATCAATTCAATACATCGCATGACCATCTTTCATTGTCATAGGTGAGTAACTGCCTCAAACCCGACACGGAGTCTCCGTCACGGGGTAGTGGACGAAGATTCTTAATGAGTCCCATACTAGAACGAAACAGCCATCCAGTGCTTTCGGGTATTCAATGGTGGTCTAACTTAGATTGGTTCATGGTTTCAATATAGCGGTGTATTATATCCCGATGGGAATAATGAATAATAACTATTGGGATCTATTTCCGCACAATTACTAAACGTATATTTTTATCGTATAATTGTTAAATGACTAAACTATTCATATTCGTGTTTCTCTTATCATAAGCTTTATAATGACCTATGGACTATTATTATACCCAGTCTATCAATTACTATCTCCCTTATTCACAGCCACATTTGGCTAAATCTTGTACAAATGTTGTTTCCTATTTTATGTTACGATGTGGTCTGTCTGGTTGGTATATAAACCCAGTATGTTCGAAATAAGTAATTCATATCGCAGAGGTTAAGATTAGTGTTCTGGACTCAACTGGCTGGGTTAGGCGGTAAGCAGGACCGATAAGGACTCTAGACTGCTTGTACGGGTTTTATGCGTCATTGGTCCGATCGATAACTCACTGTTCTCTAACAGGGGGCATCATTACGTCATACATTATTAAGGACACAGGGCACAAGTTATAACACGGTGTACATCTAACACCGCATAAGGAGAATAGCCAAGTTCATTATACAGGTAACTTTACAGGAACAATCACAACCAAACACAGATATTAATGAGGTAACATTGGGTAAATAATACTTAAAATAAAGTAGCAGAGCTATTTTCAGTGGGTCCAATCATGTATGCAGTTTTAGAGAAAATACAGCTAATTAGGGAAATGTTTTATATATTTCAAGCTACAACGAAGGCCAAAATATTAGATTTAATCTTCATTACGGGTAATTTTTAGGCGTTCGCGAAAATAAAGATTGCGATGATGACCAGCAAATAAACACAAGACTCACATAGAACAGTTGTTTTAAGTTAATATAATTTATGGATTGTGTAAAATAAACGCAGCTGTTCGGATTTGACATCTGCTCATATTCCCCCCCCCCATAAAATTATCGAACGCTTGTGAAAAGCAGCACTAATCTGATTTTAATTAAAGCATTATTAATATAAATGGTGTAAAACTATGAGAGTTGCATGCATTTACTCTGAAACCTTCATGTTGCTTCAAACTTCATTTCTTATTACTTGGCTCTTCTATTTAGTGGCGAGTTGTTAGTAATATACATGAAATGTGTATACTATGAACAGTATATATATATATATATATATATATATATATATATATATATATATATATATATATATATATATATATATAAGTAAATTTTGTTCTCCATAAAATAAATATGTGCATATATGTAACAAAAATGTGCGCCAGCCTCCAGATTTACGTAAAGTATAACGCAACGCAAGAATTATAAAAGATAATGACCTTACAAATTATACACATCATCACATGACAACAAAATCACACACAAATACAATTAGCATGAAAAATCCTCTCGTTTGATCGATTATCACTAACATTACCATCATAATATAATACACTAAACACATCAATCAAATCAATATTAAGTTTTAAAGAAGTCTAAAATATTTCTATATTATTAAAAAATGTACTTGAGCACCTTTTTTCAGTGATATTCTGCACATACCTAAGTTTGTTGTTGGTAATGCCAAACGTTGATATGTTGAAAGGAAGCACACATTTACTGAATAGTGTAAGTTTTTTTGTTTGAGAAAGAGTAGTAAGAAATTCATACAATAATCAATGGTGATTGAACAGAATTGTCGGTAATAACACAGACTTGGTTGATCCCAGTTATTTTTAACTAACTACATGAGTATTCTGAGAGGCAAGAACTTGGGAAAACAGAAGAAAAGTTTACATTTCCCTATTCAATTCAGTAATTACGCCTAAATATATATACTGAATGTGTGCGAACGATTGAGACTGACTTCAAGCGATTAATTCTTAAAGCTAATAGTGATATCTTAAGGAGTCCAATCAGGAAGTATATTTTTACTCCATTAAATACAAAAATACACTGAAAAGTAAGCGCTGTTGCTTGAAACCAAATTAATTTATTCAAGTGAAAAAATGTAGAATTGGATAATTTATTTACAACTAACCTTCGAATTTCATGAGATGGTAATCTTCCAGCACCATTGGTTGTAACTTGATTGTTACCACTTCCGCTTGATGACCCAGATGTAGATTTATCAGACGAAGGCGATAAAGCAGATCCGCTAGAAAGACCAGTGATACCAGAAAGAGCGACTGAGTTCCTAGGATTAGCATTATCAAATACATATGTATTGCGTCCACTTGCATTTGTATTGATCGGTTGGCGCCTAACAGAATGTTGTTGATCTCCAGATGTTGGGGTTGTTGTCCCATAATTCATAGTATGAGTACGGCGTGCTTTGTGAGCAGAAAACAAATTACATGAGAATTGGGGTATGAGAAAAAATAATATAACTATAAAATAAAATCACAACATACTAAGAACTTTTGAACCTTACTCTTGGTCTATCTGAACTAAAATAATGACAATAAAGATTATACAACGAAACAACGTCATTTAACTCTACGTTTTCTTATAGGTTATAACTAGTCTACAATAATAAGAACTACTATATATCATAAGTAAATAAATAGCATGCCTTAAATATTGTCATAGTGGAAAATGCAGAACCCACTAACGAGAAAAAACTATAGCAATCAATATTTCGGTAAAATAATTAAAACATATGGTTACATGTGATAGGAAGGACAGTTCTAAATAAGAGAAAAAAGGAAGAAAATGAAGGGATTTGTTCATAATAGGTACATAGTTGTAACAATAACCGTGAAATTGGTGAGATGACAATCACTATATTAAACGAAAAGATATGGTGGAAGCTTTATGCTTTGAATTGTTTTAACAGTCAAAAAAACTGGAAAATTATGGTCAGGTATGATTGTCTTACATTCAATTTGTCATTTGCATAGACGAGAGTAAGTAAACAGAAACAACAGTAAGGGAAAATGATTGATTCTGTGTAGCGCGTAACTGGGACTCCACGATAAGTGAATGAGATTGAAATATTTATTATTCCAGTCATTCTCAACTTTAAAAAAAACGTGCTATCAACTTCATTTTCCCATTTATTGAATGTACATTTTAAAAAACCACAGAAAGAAGTGAGTGAGCTTATAGATGTTACGGGATTCGAGTTAAAAGTTAAAAGTTTAGAGGTATAAGCTTCACAAAACACAGGAACACTGTACGTATAATGGTAACAAATTTACATTAGGCTTACAACATTCTTACATAAAAGGAGTGAATATAATTAACTAAAATCCGATGAAGTTGGACATAATCAGGAGCAAAAGGGAAAGAAAACCTATCAGTGAGGAAAAAATGACAAATTACTGGAATAAAAGTGGTGATTGAAGTAGAGTCAAGATACAAGAAGCTTAAAAATCACTACCCTGAAACATACAGGTTTAGTCAACTTAAAAAATTATTTGTATCCCTATTGCTATTGAAATGAAAACTTCGTATAGTATCAGGAGAGTAACAAGTACCACTAAATAATGTAGTAACATTTGAAAAGGACAACATAAAAAAGGGATGGACATTAAACACGAAGCTTAAACAGAAAAGAACTAAATAATATTACCCATAGCTGAGTTGGAGTTTGGTGATGATTTCGTGTTTGCACCCAGAGCTTGTGAAGTGATAGGAATGGGTTTTCTCTGGCCGGCAGTAGTTGGACGAACTGTGCTGGTACCTGCATCAATACTTGTTCGTTGGCCTGGAACATTTGGATAAGCTGTAAGCCCACCCCCACCAACAACTGGAGTGGCCATTTCATCAGTAAAGCCTCGTAATCGTGCCAAAATCCGGCTAGATTCTTCTCTACCAGGACGATCTGAAGCACGAACAAGGTCATTCCGCATCAACTTAATTGATTCAACATTACTAGAAGGACATGATGCTTCAATTGCATTAAGGGCTGTATTGTAATTCACGTTCGCGTTTCCACTTGAAGATGAATATGTATTTGTAGATGCCAAACTGACATGTGAAATGGGAGTTATTGTACTGGTACCTGTAGTTCCTGAACTTTCCGACCCAGAAGTGCAAGCTGACAAAGAGATAAAGGAAGTAGATAATAATCGTATGCTAACAATGCGTCGATGGTCTATATTCTGCAGAATTATAAACAACAATAATGTATTAAATAAATCTAATAAAACTGAAAATATAATTACATGAAGGAGTGATTATATTCACAGCTGGCTTGTTATTGGCACCATTATTGACTACCGTTACTGTACTAGGTGGTGTTGTACTTGTAGAACGAGTGGCACTTCCAGAATTGACCGTAAATTTGGAGCTTGAATGTGCGTTTTGATTTATTGGTCCAGTATCAGCATTTGTAGGTAAAACAGACAACGTATCGTCTGGGCAAATATTTGAGGTATGTTCCACACTCGCACAATTAACACCACCAGTTGAGATTAGTGGACTAGCTGCAGGATTTGATGTAGCAGAAAGTAAATGAGTACTTTGCCTGAAAGATGAATGAAATTAATTATTAGTTGGAAAACGCTTGACAACAATAACACATAGTTGGCTGCATATTTACCATTCACAATTTACTTTAATAGTAGTTAAAAACAAACCAACTTTAGATAAAGTAATATCTTCAATTATAGTTTATTGACAATGAACTTCCGTCGCTTTAATTATTTATAAAAGCTTCCATTCTTAGTGACTACTTAAAGAAAAATTTATTCTAGTCAGGCAATGAGATAGTTGTTGATGTGAGCATAATATTTATCCAATTTACCATAAAGAATGACAAAAATGCTTTATAATCCAGAAAAGTAGAATAAAAAAGATAATTGTTATGTGACCAATCGGAGTACATCTTTGAATCATACCAGATCAGATATCAACAAGCATTACTTATTTCTTTTATTCTTATTACAACATTTGTTCATTTTGTGAAGCACCTCTTAAGGGATTAAGAATGAATGAGTCGGATTAACTGTAGAGTTAAGCTACGTGTAGCTTTCAGTTAGTTACATTGCATAAGACTTACAAAAACGATTGTACTACAATTATATTCTAGATCAACTAATCTATATTATGACGCAATTGTTTTGACGTGAACACAAAAAATTTGTGTTTTCGCATAATTGTTGAATACAAGTGACTTAGACAAGCCTCGTACACTGTACAGAAGAAAATAGTTTGGAATAATTGGTTTGCTGGATCTTCATCTGTGTTCAGACCAAATAGTTGAAGTTTAGTTAGTATAGTTCTATGTGCTAGGTCAAATGATGGCTAACTATTGGTACCCTAGGGAGCTCTGGAAACCTTGACATATATAGTCAGCAAAGAACCTCGAACATCATTAAATTGTTTGAAAAGAACAATCAGGTTGTCAAAACTAAGTTGTTAATTGTAAATTTCATAAATAACTACTAATGGTAGATTTACCTTAAAGAAAGACTTGAACCATCACGTGAACTTGTATCAAGTGAAGAACGTCTTCTATCAAGGAGGAGATAAGTAGCCATTATGTCGTCAAAGTTTCCTTGAGTTAAAGACTTCTCTATTTCGTCACGACTGAAGCCCATATTGACCATAATCTCAATACGTACAGGATCAGTGTAATCTGGTTCGGGTTCTATGTACGGTGACAATACATTATCTTCATAACCAGTATTCATCCAACGATCTTTCATCACCATCTAATTAATTGGTAAAATGTAAATATAGGACGTTTACAATTCCTCAAATACTTCACAAATAATAGTTTAATAGAACCGAATTATGACTCATTAAGTCATGCATAGTGATTAAAGTAACTAACCTCTAAAGTGTATCGTTTACTTGGATTAAGGACCAACATTTTCTTCAACAAACTTTCGCAGTCTGTTGACATGTAGAACGGGATGCGATACTTGCCACGTAGAACACGTTCACGCAATTCTCTAAGTGTCTGACCATCGAAAGGAAGTGACCCACTGACTAATGTGTACAAAATAACACCCAACGACCACACATCAACTTCGGGACCATCATATTTCTTACCCTAAATAGTAGTTTTGTGGAAAAAAGGATGAGAAATTTATGTTATTGTACAAGAGTAAGCAAAAACTTTCCAGTGACAACAAAATCTGAAGAATATCACGTCAAACGTACTTGGAATAGTTCTGGGGCTGCATAAGGAGGACTTCCACAAAAAGTATCTAATTTCGTGCCTGGACTAAATTCATTAGAGAAGCCAAAATCAGCCAGTTTTATGTTCATATCGGCATCAAGAAGGAGATTTTCGGCTTTTAAATCTCTGTGAATAATATGTTTTTGATGACAGTACTGAACAGCAGAAACAATTTGACGGAATTTAGCCCGTGCTTCTTTTTCTTTCATTCTTCCATGAGCAACCAAATAATCAAAAACCTCACCTAAAAAACGAATGCGAAAAAACGAAGTAATGATAGGTGGTGTGCTAAAAGGTAAGAGAAGACTGTTTCTTAGAAGAATGTAAGTATCGAGAGACTTCTATTTGTTACTTATTATCCAGCAAGTTGGTGGGAGAATTGTTTATGGTTATTCTTAGATATTCGGGAAACTAGCCGATCATTGCTTTAAATGAGGAAGCCGGAGTAATTGGTAACAAAAATATGGTAAAGTTTCGTTATTCATAATCTATTTATTTAACAACGTTAACTAAAAGGATTCTGATACAGCCAAAATCATATAGGAAAATCAGAAATAAGTACGGAATAATAGAACTGCTTCGTAATTTTAGTAGTATGCAGAATCTTCAACTCTAAGTAGTATAAATATTCAACAATCAAAATATAATAATGTAAACTAATAGTTTCTATCTAATAAGCCGACATTTGTATATAAATGACGAAACAGAATACCAAGTCAGAAATCGGTAAAATGTGTTAAATTGGTTGTGGTCGTGAAACCAACGTTTGTCTTACCATAAATGGAATAGAAAAATAACGATAATTCGGACCGAATTCATAAACCCTCAAAATGTTGTACATGGTTCGATTACAACCACAACATAGAGTTAAATACCATCTTCAAGCGGGTAAAATTACGTCTATAAATGAATCGTCGAATACGTTATTGTAGTAAATCGTCTCAAGCAATCACAAAACTTATGACTAAATAAGTGTATAAATGTAGTATGATGAGAGGGGTATTTTTATATAACCTAGAGGAAAAGTAATTAAAAACTTACCACCACTGGCATATTCCATTACCAAATATAAAATCTTATCGTTGTCAATAATTTCAAATAGTTTTACGATGTTTGGATGGTCCAGCAATTTCATCAGTCTAACTTCTCGGAAAAGCTAATTTATTGAATGAAACTGAAAGGATAAACAATTACCTTTTGACGGCTTGAAGGACTTAACTGGGTTTTATCAATAATTTTGATAGCGACTTGTTGTCCCGTAATAACATGACTCGCTAATTTGACTTTGGCAAAATTCCCCTTGCCTATAGTTCGTATAAACCTGTATTTTCCAACATGTGGTTGGTCGTCAATCACTCTCCAACGTAAAGGTCGATTAGGTTCTTGGATATTTCCATTATGTTGTTGATCTGACCTGGAAGGTGGACGAGCAGCCACTGGAGCCAGAGCAGCAGTGGCCATCGATCCAACGCCAGAATGAATCTGTGCAGAAGAGATCATGCAGTACACATAACATATAACATGAACTGGCGACAAAAATATGTAGCCTATGATAGAGAAATGAGTAACGTAAATGAGTTGTAGCAATATCTTAAAAAGAATCTATTCTCAATAAATTTCTAATTATATATATATATATATATATATATATATATATATATATATATATATATATATATATATTAGTTGAGCTGATACCAGCTGTGACTTTCGTTTGAATGCTATCACAACAATTAAAAAAACCTAATGAAAGCATCAGTGACTAAAAATAAGTCTGTTATACGAGCTGGATAAATACATAAATTACCATACAAATAAGCACCATCGTACTTCGAAAATGAGCATGTATGGTTGCTTACTTGTTGCAGTGTTCTTCAGACAACAAACAGCTTGGCTTAACAACTAGCAATTATGAAGCATGAGAAACAAGCAAGCTAAGTAAATGCTATGAGAAATTTCAAATGATTCATAGCGAATCAAAAGTGATTTTAAGAGCTGTATGTTAATTAGTGGCTGATCACAGTTTCAAACAGTAAAATGGCGTATTTTATAATTCTAACAGTGAACAGGCTTTAACAATGTAATGTTGGTATGTATGACGAAACATAGAACAGAGAATTTTAATTAAATCAAAGTGGTGAAAATACGTAAAAATTTAGACAGCTACTTCAAGTGAAAAATTACAAAAACCACTCAAACAGTGAGCGCAGTTTAGAAAACAGAAGCACATAACACCAAAGCTTTACCTTAGAAAAACAGGAATACTTTGGTACTTTAGTACGTCAAAAAGATTTGGTAATTTTCCAAAATCATCAGAGTTGATAACAAGATGTAAACTAAAGCCAAATAATTGTGAACAATGGGTAGGCCTATATCTAAAATACAATTTGAGTGATACATGTTAGTTTTTGATAAACTATTTCTGTTGTTGCAATAAACTAAGGAGTACAACAATTATACAGCTAGCCGTATGTCAGTCAGTCAGCTACAACGTAGGACCAGGTACATATATGCATCGACCCAAGTTGCCATACCTCATTAACACAACAAGATGAACACCGGAGTCATAAAAGTAGTTAATTCAGAGGTGGTAATATAGAAAAGAAAGATTGCATATAATGATATAGTACAGGATGAAAGAAAAAGTTCGTAGAAAGAAAGATATGAAGCGATTTTAATCTCTTAGTTTAAGGGAAGACGGAGAGTGTATACACCGATGCCATTGTGATCGATTCTGAGCCGTACATATTTTTAATGGTATAGTGCTTTTGAGTCATTTGGATTAAACACTGAAAAGACCGTGGTTAATAAATCTGGATAGGTAGAAAGACTGAACAATCTATGACATGGGACAGAAATGTATCACTTCCGTCGTAATTAAAAGATGCAAAAATCTTAAGAGCTGATAAAAAGTGTATTCGTTCAAATTCCTAGATCTTTTTGTTATGATATAGAAGGATTATTAACAAAGCGGAAAAGAAAAAGAGTGAAAATTATCATAATGCTAACAAAAATGGAAAATCAAGACAAAAGAAACGAATGAGACATCGTGCCAACTAGCATAATGAGACGGTATGGGTGCTGGCTAAGTATGTGTGAATAATATGCCAACCACTTTTACTACAAATGGTTCAGAAATCTACAAAACAATTTACCAAACTTATCTGGTACTATACAACTAACGTCAGTGTTATTAACTGAATGGCTTCAACGTTTCAAAAGCAACTATAATCAAATATTTGGAACTTGAAAGTTTTTTGTTTCAAACTAGTCATATAATACAGTGAACTATTCTTTGGTAGTGCAACTAATTTGTAGAGAAAAGATTGTGACACTCAAAGAGCAAAACTTCCTGAGAAGGATAACGACACCATCGAGGTGCTCAGAAACAACGATCAAGAAAGGTTTAGGATAGAAGATAACGGGTATTTGTCCTTAAACTACTAAACCATCGCTTTGACGTTGACAAAACGAATAGCGAGATTTGAAAACGTTTAGGTGCATTTTACATTTATTACAATGTGCCATTACCACCAGCTCGTGAAAAGTGAAGTAGTTGATGCATGTTTTAGGGTCCTCTTTCAACGGGGCGTTACACATTAGATTTTGTGTGAACAGATCAACATTTTAATGGTGTTACAGGCGGTTCGTATTGATTCTATCGATCAGCAGTAAGAAAGACTTGATGTGCATAACATTGATCACTACTCAGTGACCAGTCAGTTGTAGGTATATCTCAACCCCACGGGCGGTCATTTATGGCCTGAACAACCCGGTATTAACGTTTCTAACTGTAAACCTGGAATACAGAAGGCCAAATCTGTTGAGGGGTATTAATTCCTTCAAGTTTACAAGTACATTTTTCTAACGAGTTTTAAGTAGTACAAAACCTATGTCGAGGGCTCCCTGTAAATTACCGTCAACCACCATCTTACAAGCCTTCGCTATACACAGATTTCGTTAGTAACACCAGCGCGAACACTTACACCAATACAAAGATATATGAAATGGTCGTGGGTTGATATCAGAGTTATTATCTTGCTATACTCTAAAGAATCATTCAAATTAAGGAAACTGAATTCATTAGCAATAATAATGGTAACCAACATATGCAAAAGTTTGTATACAAACTGAAGAAAAACCACTTCAATAGTATTAAAGCTAAGAATTTGGGAATAGGCATCTTCCTAAACTACTTTGGAAAGATCTATAAAAAACCACGCTTTGTGGAGTATCTACTACTTCGCGATGTAATAGTACGGTTCCAAAACAATATAAAGTATACACTCATACATTACGGTATCAGCTACACAATTTAGGGGCTGATGATATTAGGTAGTAGCCAAGACTGGAGCACATGTGATGACATTTCACTTGAAAACTAGCATTTAGACTAATGATTTGATACAACTTTTTTTTGGATGTTTGACTAGAATAGATGTGACAAGTATACAACACTGTAAAATGGGACAAGAATTAGAATGCATTATAAACCAGAGAAATCAGACCTTACTCGTCTAGTCATTGAGTGAGATTTGGTTTAGTTCGCACACACTGCGCGAGGTTGGGTTATGATATGTGAAAATTTTAACCGAAGCACATTTGTGCCGGGTTCTAAGTTGTTAATTATTAGTTGAGAGAATGTTACAGACCACACTAGTGTTAGGTTATAGTTAAATGTTATCGGATAACCGAAAAATGTTCAAATAGTTTTAAATCTTAATTACCGTCACATATGTGGAAGCACTATGGATTCACACCATATAAATCAAGAAAATATTAGTTCGAGTATACGGAGATAAATCGATGGTTGTGCACACATTTATGTATCAGAATGCAATTAAATTCCGTAAACTGAGGTAAGAAGACCATGATTTGAAGCAATGATTTTCATTTTCTGTCTATATTTCGTTCAGTAGCCCTATTTCGTCTTTACTGATAACATTTATACAAATAAGTGCAACGATGTAAAATAGAAATTTTACCAACGTCTGTTTGTATTGAATTGGATAAAAGCATAGACCGTATTTGTACAAATGATACTATTGATAGAAATTTTGGTGGAAAATGAGTACTTCTTTGAATCTATAAAAAGCATAGTGTGTTGGGACTTTACACGTTTCCTGTCACCCTACTATTTAGAGATAACTTTTATTAACTGACCCGCAACATCAAGAGAATTTTGGAGTATGAGATTGGTCGGGTAAAATCTATCAGGACATGTAAACGCTTGGTGTAGCCAACTATGATGACTACTTATAGGAACAAAGCTAGCAAAATCCAAGCTGAGGAAATAAGTTATTTAAGAGCTACGTAACACGATGACCACTGGGCAATTATTCACTTTGTATTCAACCAAATTAGAGCAGTCTTGAATCCTGATTCATCTACTTCGGTATGTGGAGCTTAGAAGCATAACTAGTCCCCATAATAAACGTGGTAAAAAGCCATATATATACATTCGCTTTATCATAGCAAATTGTCAAGCTGCAACGCAGACGCCCAAGTCGATAAAGAAACTTGAAGAATGTTTATATTATTGGAAGTTAATGTCAAAATATGACTGTAATTTGGTAGCAAAAATGTCACCAGCTACTGGTATATTAGGACGATAAGAACCTGTATATATCGAGCGAGGAATGTTCAGTGGAGAATGGCATCAATGAGGCTGAAGAATGGAGATTTAGTTTGCACAAGAAGCTAACAAAAATCAGACCTCACTAATCTGGTAGATGTGAAAGTTACGCCACTTTTGGTTACAGGTATTCAAGACTATTCAAGGATCTTAAAAAACTAAGAAATCCATAATTAGTTTATGAGCACTCACAAGATTCTTAACGGGATGAGACTGAAAAAACCGTAAGATGTCCTAACAATTTAATCGCGGAAACAGGAAAAGACATGGGTTTTTTGAATATACAGATGCCAGTTTGTGAAGGCAAATGACAATCTACAAATCGCAACCATCTACCATCGAGTCCACAAGTAAGACATCAAATTTTCTTAGTCGAAACGCTAGAAACGAAAATATTATCTGAGACACTATAGGTAAAGGCTTTGCGCAAAAAAAATCAATAGCTTAGGTAGGTTACCTTCAGCAAATAGTTTTGATTCACGAGAAATCAAAGCGGAAAACCAACTCCAGTTGACACATATCGTCCTAGAACGAGGCAGACATTACAAGTACCTCGAAATTCAGATAAACTAAATTTTGATTACTTAAATACAATGAAGTCCAAAAACGTTTGAACCAATTTATTAAAAAACGTACTTGTTTTAATATGTAGAAAGTAAAACCGGTTAATCAAATTTGACGCCACTTATTGATTGCAGGCTTCAATGTTGTACGCCTAAGTGGGTAATTGCGCATTGCTTTATTAACCAGTGTCATGTACAACTTGACCTTAAATCATCATTTTTTACCAGGAAACTATCTTCGTATTCCTAGAAAAATTAAGGGACTTGACATTTTTGTATAGTCAAACGATAAACGGACGATCCCCGAGCTCCTAATTGTGGGGAAAATTTCACCCATTTTGGGGAAGCTGCTATTGTAAACTTTGAGGAAATGGCCCCAAAGTTTACTTTTAACCTTAGTGAGGGTCATTTGACCTTGGGGATTTGCCCAAAATTCCCCGGAATTGCCCCAAAGTTCTCAAAACTTTGGTGTAGTTCATTCGACTTTGTGGGTTTCCCTAAACTCGCGAGATTGGATCTCGCTAGATTCGGTCAATCTTGAATCTCGCTCAAACAGTACTCACTATTTTGTCATGTCTGTTGTATGATAACTAGCTTTTCATCTCGTTCATGGCAGTGGTAGTTGCCAATCGGTATTTTCTTTATGTTGACCTTGACCATTTTATCTACTCATTTTTAATCTTGGTAAAAGAAACGGCAGTAAACTAATGTGGCCTGTTACCTACTCCGGTTTGGACACCCGGTCATATCCCAGCTCTCGCGCAAATCGAATAGTTTATGTGGCGCATATCTATTCGGTGCGTCGTATCATCCCTGTGTTTTAATCGATAAATCGTCAGCGTATGACTAAACCGATGATAGGAGACTGTGACGGTCATTTATATTCAAGAGGAATAACACTAGCCGCAAAAATGTGCCTTAAAGCACTCGACTAAACACAGTTTTCCAGCTGGACGACGAGTTCACCCACACTCTTTGTTGACGCCCACCTAGGAAGTGCTTTATCCACATTAACAAATTGCCACAAACCCCCATATTACTTAACATATATAACAGCCGGTTGTTAGGGATGTTGTCAAAAGTTTTGTTGGAGTCAATGCAGGTTACATCTATAGATAACCTTTTGTCTTTAATAGCGCACCAACTTTCACAAGTCACTTATTAGTTAGCAAAATAGGAATAATCTGTTCTAAAGCCATGCTGCTTTTTAGAAAGAATCCTATTTTCGTCTAGGTCCTTAAACAACTTCTGAATAATCTTTTCTAAAATCTTAACGACCACGCTGGGCCGATAGTCTTCCGGTTTGTTTCGTACCTGTTTTTACGACAGGACTATGGAGTTCTTCCAGTCTTAAAGATAGATTAAAGAATATTCTTAAGGGATTTGCCACGAAATGTGCTAATTCTTTTAGTAACCTAGGATGCGCTTCATCGGGTCATATAGATTTGCCTCTATCAAGCTCATTTAGCAGACCAAAGTCATCGAGTTCTCAAACGGTCACAATGCCCAGTGTGTGTAGGGAGGTTTGTATGAACTGAAGGGGAGCATGTCTCTACGGTATATACACTTCTGAAGTAATTTGAGAATACCTGCGCTTTACCATATTCGTCCTCAACCAATGGTGCAGTACTACTGTCTCCCGATATTGCTGAAATATTCCGTCTCTTATTCCTTTGTTTTATCTACAAGTTTAAGGTATTTGGTGGATTCCTTAACAAGTTTTTCTTCTGAGATAGTAGAAGAGGTTTGTAACTCAAGTGGATGATTTTGATGCAGTTTTGTTCTCTGAAGTCTTCTCTTTTAACTGAAGTTTGTGATGATGTTCATAATAACGATTGAAGCTCCACAACCATACTATCCAGCTCAGAGGAAAAAACTCAGTTTTTCTTCGTACAGCATTCTAAACCTCATTCATATTTCTTTATATCTTTCCTTCTGCCAGTTAATTTTTCTCCCTGTACTATATCCTTACGCACAATCTTTCGGTGGCCATCTTGTGCTAATGAGGTGTGGCAACTCGGTCCTACGTTGTGGCTGGCTGACTGAATCGGTCAATGAGGATAGTTCGGAGTCTAGATCGTACCTAGTCGCTTCTTTTACATGTTGCATTAGGGCACATGTGATAACCGCATCAACTAGTTTCTGTCCGAAGGAATTTTCTCACAGTTCCGTTCTCAGATTCTTCCAATCTAACGTAGATACGTTAAAGTCTCCCAAGATTAAACACCAACCACTTTGTGACCATGTGTTGAAACCATCTAACAAAACCTCATTTACCTCACAGTTTGGGCTGTAGTATACCAAGCCAATTAGCAGCTTTCTTCAAAGTACAACAAATTAACTCACACGTCCCACTTCCATGGGATCAGTTTTCAATAACGGTAAATGGAATGGTATTTTTAATGAATCCTAATCAATCCTTTACACTTCTTGATTCTGTCGTCTCTTACTAATATGAAACCTTCAAAATCAAGCTCCGTGCTGTCCATAAACTGAATAAGTCAAGTGTTTGTGACTGCGACTACGGGCGGCTTGGTAGGGTCTATCTGTACACCTAGCTCTGATCGCTTATTGAGCAAGCTCTGGGCATTCATGTAACAGGTTCGAGGACCATGGCTTCGTACTTCACCCAAAGTGGCTTTGGCATCATTCCCTGTCGAAGCCTCACAACCCGAAAACTTACAATTTTTAGGTCGTTCTCGCCAGCATCTAACCTTAGTTTTAGTTCTTTTTTAGCTTCTCGTTTTTTTTATACGGTCTGCGAGCGGCAACTCTTTACGGCAAAAAGTCCTGACCCATTTATCGCGTGCTCATTCTGTAGTATCAAGTCTCATTTGGAGATTTAAATACTACTTTTAACAACCTGGTGTGATTCTGTTTCAAGTCCTTTTGGCTACCCAGTTTGTAAACCTGTAGCAAGGTGACTGCAGGGATATCCTGAGGCATTAGCTGGTCTAGTAGCTCTTTTATCGACTCAATGTCATGCTCATTACTTCTGAGTTTTTAGCTTTCACTCCTTGACTCTATGAAAGACAACTACTCTGTCACTAAGATCTGTTTTCAATTTTCAGGTCCTCAAATGTCCTAGTACGGTCAGGAATGGGGAGACTCAGCCCTCCTTCTTGAAATGCTCTCACATGGCCACGTGCATACAATCACTGCCTGGAAAGTCCTACTCACTGCCTTCTTGCGCCAGGGTTGTTATTTACGAAATTGAGGAGACAAAAAGCGAATGTCCGGTGCTTTAACCGGGTTGGTGGACACGGAGAGTCCACCTAGGGGATATGGAAAACCCTGATTCCAAAACAATGGTGCATATGGGCTCCAGCATTTAGAAGGAACAAATGGCATATGAACCAATCGTTGGTCACCGGCTACCATGGGACTGCATCATCTGACGTTGCTCCACTGCCTTGTCGATCAGACTTCCAGATCGAAGGCTCCGGATGTGGTTCCCTAAGAGAACTACCTGCCCCGGCTTGGTCACCCGGTCGGTATCCCAGCCCTCACACAAATCGACTAATTTATTTGGCGCCTATCTATATGGTGCCTCCTTGTACCAATGTTTATGTGTTTAAATAAATAAAATCTCAGCTACTTTTTGGGGAACACACTTTTCTTTAGTAACATTTCATCTAGTTCACAAAATTCCAACCAGATATTTGCTCTTTTTATATTATTTAAATAGGCATATGTATAATTATTATAATAAGGTCCGTCTTATCTTACTCAACTTGGCTATAACGTCTACATCTACATTTTAATTTGAATATAGGATTCAATAATTTTGTCTATTATCATTTTCTAATTCGTTAGGCAAAACGCTTAATATACAGAAATTAAATCACAAGGTTACTTCAAAGTACTTGAATCGAGTAGAATAGTTGGGTGTAAGACGTTTTTATATTTCTCAAAGTTTTCTTGTGCTTTCTTTACTGCCTTTGGTTACAAAACCAGTCAAACTTCTTCATTTGGTATCAATAAAAGGTTTTCTTTATTGATAATCGTCTGTATAGTTATATGTAATAATAGTGCACTGAGCTGCTGTCCAGGTTTTGTAACAATTACACGACAGGATAGATTGCATTGCTCTCAGTATAAAGCTCATAGCTGCAGTTGGTTTACACCAACTTTATTGCATATGATCGGTTAACATATACATAATGTAAGTATATAATATGTACATGAAACCTCGATTAAAATGTTTACTCTTCATTAACGAACCTCCGGTGTTAGATAATTACAATTAATCATTTAAACCACGTGTATGGAAGACGAGTATTCTTTCCAATAAATTCTTTTCAGACTCCACAGTTATTTCGAATTGATAATCTGAAAGTGGTCAGATTTAAGGCAAGTTTTTCGTGTAAAATTATAGCATGTTAATTTAGGATTGCTTGTAAAATAACAAGAATTTTAGTGTTAGGATGACTAATTTGAAGTATAGACTTGACTTTTCTTGTTTTTTTTTTAGATAGTTTTAGTGTTACTGACTTATTATGAGACTGTTTTCTTGCAAAAATTTCATTCTTTACGACTCAGAATAATCAAATTCAATGCTCATACACAAAACATTGAGATTATTCCATTGCACTAAGTGTTTCACTCGTCGAAAGAGTGTATATACTACGACGCTAAATAATCCGAGATTCCAGTTTACCATACATTCGAAACCCATTGAATCGGTAGCTATTAATGTACGTTGTCTCTTTAAAATGATGTTTCTCCAAGACTAAGTGGAATCAATTTTATAATCATCAACTGAAAAATGCTGCTCAGCATAAATTTATTCTTCACGATGGTCCACCTTATGCCAATGGTGAGTTGCATGCTGGGCATGCACTGAATAAAGTACTAAAAGATGTCCTTCTTCGCCTCAAACTTCTTTCTGGTCACTCGGTTGAGTATATTCCTGG